TCGGCTGCTATGGATTGCTATTTTTGCATTGTTACAATTGTTTTTACTTTATTTTCATTTTGTTCACTACCCAGAGTCTCTTGCCGAGATGGGCGGCCGTACAAATTGAATGTATGAATGTATGAATGTATGAATGAATGAATGAATGAATGAATGAATGAATTCCAAAACCAAACTGCAAACCCCTCAAAGAGGCACAGTGATGAGAGACTTTAACTATCCTTATATCTATTGGGTGACAAACCCTGTCAAGAATGGTACCCTTCTAGGTAATTCCTGAATTCTCTTGCTGACAGTTTTCTCCTTTAGAGGGCAGAGGTGACACAAGAGCTATCGTTAAGTTTAGGATAATCAATTGAGAAGACATAGTTAAGGAAGTGGAATTACCTGGAACACTGGGGGAACATGAACCATGTAATGCTGATGTTCTGGAATTTTAAGGGAACTAAAATTGAGTATACAGGTACTCCTTGACTTATGACCATTCATTTAGCAACCATTACTTCGGTTACAATGGCATTGAAAAAAATGACTTATGACTGGTCCTCGCACTTATGACTATCACCGCATCACTGCAGTCATTTGATCAAAATTCAGGTGCTTGGCAACAGGCATGTATTTATGACAGCTGCAGCGTTCCGGGGTCATGTGATCGCCATTTACAACCTTCCGAGCCAACTTCCGACAAGCAAAATCAATGGGGAACCACATGATTCACTTAACAGCCATGTGATTTGCTTAATGGCCATGTGATTCACTTAACAACCATGGTGATTCACTTAAAGACCCACAAAAAAGTTGTAAAATTGGATGTGGACATGTGGTGCCCCACTTAATGACAGCACCGCTTAACGATGAATTTTCCGGTCCCTGTTGTGGTCGTAAATTGAGGACTACCTGTAGTTAAATACATGTCTTAAGCTTAATACAACACATTTTGATAAACTCTGAGCAATTATAACTAGGTTGCCATGGTAGAAGCAGCTAATGGGAAAAGAAGTTCATGATGAGTTAAGAGTTCATAAAGAAGCAGATACTAAAAGCACAATCCCAAATAATTTTAAGGAGGAAAAAATGGAATGAAGCAGAAAAAGTCAATGTGACTACACAAAAAAATGTAGTGAAGATGTAAAAACAAAAAAGGACCCATAGAGAAAATGAAAAGAGGACCAGGTGACACAGGAAGAGCATAGACAGTATCCAGAACAGCATAGCTGGTGTTAGAAAAACAAAATTAGCACACAATGCCAAGAATAATAAAAAGGCTTTATTAGATATGTTCAGAATAAAAGGATTTAAAAAAAAATTGATCAGTATACCAGTTGTTCAATAATGATGGCAAAATGCCAACAAGTAACAACAATAGCAACAAAAAGCAGAGTTATTCAATTCCTATTTTGGTTCAATATTCTGAACCAAAAGAGTATGTATTCCACCAGGGCACTGCAAAAAGCAAGATGAAAGGGAAGGACTGAGATTAATAGAAACATGGCCAGGGAATAAATACCCCTTCACTTTGAATGAGTTTTAAATATACAGGATCAGATTAATTGTCTCTTATAATATTGATGGAACTGGCTATTGGTCTGTCTGAATCCTTATATATTATCTTACAAGATCCTGAAAAACTAATTAATTGCTAGATTAGTGGAGGAAAATAAATGTTCCCATCTTCAGAAAGGGAAAACAGAAGGATCAACAACCTAAGATCAGTCAGTCTGGTAGCAGTATTTGGGAAGATTTTAGAGCAGATTACAAAAAGATTGATCTGTAAGCATTTTAAAAGCAATGTATTGATTATAGAAGTCACTATGGATTTATCTAGAGCAAGTTATTGCAGAGTGTCCTTACCAATTCTTTTGATTGGTAACTTTCTTAACAGATAGTGAAAATGCTCTAGACTTAATGAGTCTTGATTTAAAATAATCTTGATATGTTACAGCAATGGGTTGAAAGTAATGGAAAAAGTACCAGAAACAATGCACTATTTTTCACTTAGGGAACCAAACCACAAGAAAAGATAAAGGATAACTGGCTACATAGATACTTGGAATTGTAACTGACTGCCAGCTGAATATGAGCCAGCAGTATGATGCAGCTTCATATAAGATAAATGCAATTTTAAGCTAGATCAGTGCATGTATAATTTCCAAATCACAAGAAGCAATCATTCCACTTTATTCTGCTTTGGTCAGATCCAACCTCATGTACTATATCCAGTTCTGTGGGCAAAACCTTAAGAGGTGCAGAAATGGGCTGGAAATGAAATACTGTGATAAGAGATTGAAGGAGAAGCATATGTTTAGCCTTGAGGTAAAAGCAACTGAATGGGATTATGATAGCACTCTTTTACAAGACAGAAAGGATGTCACATAGAAGGTCAAGATCTCTTCTTTCTCATTCCAGAGCGCAATGGATTTAAGTTATAGGAAGACAGATTCCAGTTGAATGTTAGAAACAACTTCCTATCTGTATAAGCAATTCAACAGTGGAATCAATTATCTAGAGAGGTCATAGACATCTCTTCATTGGATATGTTCAAAAGGAGGCTAAAAGCCATCTGTCTGAGATCCTTTAATTTGGATTCTTGCCCTGAGCCCATTCCAACTTTATGATTCTATTCTATTCAGATATTACTGAAACTGAGTGAAAACGCTGGCTTAAACTATATGATTCTCTGGGCAACTATTTTGTTCAATGTTAGAGCTCTATCTCTATTACATTCCTTTAGCAACTATTGATAATCAGTGCTAGAATAAAATTAGTCATCTTACCGTTGGAATTAAGGCCATTTTAAGCAACAATACTCATTTGGGAGAGTTTCTACAGTTAACTTGGGCACTTATTATAGAATAGCATTTTATACTCTAGTTTTAATTTAACTATCTGTCCCCCCACCCGCAAAAGCTCACCTGGCATGAAACCTCTCCAGTTTCCAGCACTACCTACTTTTAGTTTTGTTCATTCATTCATTCATTCATTCATTCATTCATTCATTCATTCATTCATTCATTCA